ATCTATTCAAACTTTTTTATTTGATTAAACTATTCTAAATAGTTTAATAATATATATTTATATTCCAACTGCTTTGAATTTATTACACCTATGGCTCTTCTTCAAACTGTTTAGAAAACCGTTCCATCTTCTAACGGATCATTTTTCCAAAATTGTTTGAAATATGTTCAAAGCAACGGTGGGTTCTACTTTTCAAACAGTACTGGTTCAATTTCAAATTCTACTTGTTCGGGTAATTTTGAATGGTCACCTAGTGGGCTATAAATAGAGTTACATTTCCAACAGTCAAGAGCATCGAAAAAATAGTGAGAGATTCTTCCATTTTGCTGTCTAGAATTTTTCTATTTGCATTATTTCTTCATATTAGTTTTAGAAATAATTTCAGAGAGTATTAGAACACAGGTTTGGTTTGCCGTACAAATTTGTTTGGTGTGCTACAACAATTTTGTGAAGATCATTGTATCCTGGGAGATAGACGCCACTCAACCGTAAGCACCGTAGCGGGGCGAATCTGTCTTAAGGACAGAGTGTCACACACTCGACTTGGTCTTAAATTATTTATTTGGTTCAATAAATAAATTCGGTACGTTATTTATTTATTTGTTTGGATTTATGTCTATTTATTTTATTTACACAGAAGATTGTTCCAACAATAAGAAGTTATCCCCGTGACACACTAGCTAGACGTTCTAAACTAGTCTGCCAAAACACCGCTCGACGTTCATTAAAGACTAAAACAAATTGGAAAAAAACTGTTACTTTCTTTTCTTTAAAACTGCCAAACAGAGAGTAATGATCTATCTACCAACTGCCCACCACAATCGCCTGTGTATCTTGATCACGTTAAAGATGTCAATGTTTAATAATAATATAGTTTGGGCATTTAAGTTATTTGCAACTACCACTACCTATTAGTTCAAAGTACAATACAAAAATACATGGTTTTTTTTTTTTTAAAGTTACATTTCTTAAATGTTTTTGTCTTAAGTAAATTATTTTTAAAAAAAATCTGTGTCATGAGTTTTTTTTATTTATTAATAATAAGTTACTAAAAAAACAATAATCAAGCACTGATTTACAATTAGTTATTTTGGGAAATAGGTTAAAACTAGTTTTTTTAGCTTTTTTTTTTAAAAAAAATTAAAAAAATGATATGATCTAAAATAAAGGACAAATTACACTAGCAGTCCCTATAGTTTGGGACTCGTGTCACTTTGGTCTTTAACTTTTCAATTGTGACACATTTGACCTTGAATTTTGAATTTTGTTCCAAATAAGGACAATTGGAGATACCATTATTTAAATTCAAGAGTAAAATCGTCAATTTAATAAAATATAAACTAATTTGACAAAAATAAATGTCAAAAAAATATTTTAATTTTTTAAAAATTATTTTTATCTACCAATGATAAAATTATGTAAAATTGATAAAAATTAATAAAAATTACATGATTAACTTTTAAAAATTAATTTTACATGATTATCATCCAAACACATAATAAAAATTAATTTGGTAAAAAAATAAATAAATATCTAAAAGATTTATCAATTTTACATAATTTAATTTTTAGTGGGTAAAAATAATTTTAAAAAATTCAAAAATATTTATTTAATATTTATTTTTGTCAAATTAGTTTATATTTTATAAAATTGACGATTTTATCTTTGAAAAATCTAATGATATTTTCAATTGTTTTTATTTGGAACAAGATTTAAAATTCATAACCAAATGTGTCACAATTGAAAAATCAATGATCAAATTAGTGTAATTCACCCTAAAATCAATTAAAAGTCAAAAAGTGACATTTTACCCCTCGCCAAAACAAGCCAATGTAATCAATTCCATTCCAAATGTATATGTAAATGTATTTGATGAGAAATTATTCAGTGTTTTTAAAGCAAATTTATGTGTTGCTCAATAAGGTAGTTATTGATCTAAATAACTAGGTACACTCACTTTTGTGATAGTGTTTCAAAAAACACTTTAATCCCTACTATCATGTTACTCGTATTATGCACAAATTTAAATAAATAATAAAAATTAGTTTCTAAATTAAGATAATAGTATAAAATTTATTTAAATGATTTAGTAAAAATGATTTATAATTAATTAAATTTTATTTATTTTTATCAAAGTTACACATAAGAGACAATTTTAATTCTAATATCATTAATTGTGTGTTCTCAGTTGTTAATAAAAAAAAATTGCATGTCATAATTTAATGGGGGAATTACATGCAAGTAGGTGATAAAAAAAATTACAAACACATGGTGTGCAAGTGTGCCTGTGATGGGATGCAAATAAAAGATTGTGGGGGTGCAAGTCATGTCTTGATAGTTTTTTTTCTTTCTCCCGCTTGCATGTAATTTCCCTAATTTAATTGATAAAAATTAAAGAATAAATTACAAAAACTATATTTACAATAAAATAATACATTTCGTTTTATAAGTTTTGTAATTTTAATTTACCATATAATAATAGTAAATTACATTTTTTAATATACTAATTTTTTCTTATTTTGTAAAGTCTAAAAATTTGTCTACTCAAAATTGTAAATTGTCGTATGTCATAACTCTTATGTGAAAATGAATTAGGATTGACTTGTGGTGTTAGACTAAATATTAAAAGTGACCTAGAAGCTACTCAACTCAATATTTATGTTAATGTGACCTTCACTTAATCATTAAAAATTGTCTTTATCGGTTCGTGATCGATATGAGCTAATTTGAAGGTTCCAGTATTGGATTAAATATTAAAAATTAACCTAAAAAATCTAGTTCAAGTTGGGTTTTTTTCCCAATAATTCTTGGTTTAAGCTACAGTACATCATAATTTAATATTTAGGGTAAATTACATATACCCCCTCGAGGTTTGGCTAAATTACAGATACCCCCTGAAGTTTTAGAAATTACAAATTCTCCCCTGAATGCTATAGTTGCATAACAAATTAGGGGGCAATTTGTTATGAAATACAAACCTCAGGGGGCAAATTGTTACGAAAATACAAACCTCAGGGGACGGGATGTAATTTCTGAAACCTCAGGGGTATCTGTAGTTTAGCTAAATCTCGAGGGAGGTATATGTAATTTGCCCTAATATTTAATAGCATTAAAAAAATAATAATCTTAATGTTTACGGTGCTTTTTATCAATCAATAAAAAAATTATAAATATTAAGAGAATTACATTTGATTAAATTCTAATATAAAATTTTTATTTTAAATCTTTAAGACCTACATATTTTTTTTTATTCTAACTAATTTTTGAGATAGCAACTAAAATAAATTCAATCATTATTATATGGAGAGATATGTGTGATAAGAGTTTGTTATACACAATTTTAAAAAATAATATTAATTCAAACTTTTCAGTATGGAAAATAAGTACCAAACTGTATGTTATGTTTGATTCATGGATTTGAGTAGGAATTTGGAATGAGAAAGGAAAAAAATAAGTGAAATATGAATAAAATATAAGGGTTTTTATTGATAAATCCTATTTAGGAGTGTTTTAGCCCAAAAAATTCATGAAGGAAATTTACAACCCACTTAGTCCCATGTATTTATATCTTTCTTCCATAAGATCCTTTTTATTGATTTACATTATTTTCTTAGACTCATATACCTTTATATTTAAAGTTGATATACATTACACACAAAAAATTAAATATCGTTCTTTATTGGTTGTCATTATATTTTGGTAATTCCCATATATCCAAATGTTGATGGTACATGATGACGTGAATGTTCACACTAAAACATATGAATATTTCATATGTTTATATTCAAATGCTTATATTCATATTCATATTCATATATTCACATCAGATGACGTAAATGTTCACACTAAAACATGTGAATAAATATTCACATGTTTTAGTGTGAACATTCATGTCATATTTATATTCAAATGAAAGTTGAGGCTTATGGTTGTATAATTTGATGCAATGCAGATGTGAATCTTAACATCACCTTTATCACAACTCATCTGACAGAACATTCACATTCAGGGGCGGTTCCAAGGCTTGGTCAGGGGTGTCACCCGAACCCCCTGGATGAATTTATTTATTTATTTATTATATAAATATTAGATTTTAGGAAAAAAATTAATAATTGAACCCACTAAAATACAATTTTGAACCCATAGTTTTAAGTCCTACTCTTTTGAACCCACCAATAAAAAAAGTTTACTTTTTAACTTTTACCTATTTTTTGTTTAAAATATTTTATTTGTAAAGTCATATTTTTTTTTTTTTGGTCTATTTTTTGTTTAAAATATTTTATTTGTAAAGTGATAGTTTGTATTCTTGCTTTGGAAATTGGAGACCTGACGTCAAGGTGCATCAATCTTTTGTTTACCTTTTGTTTAATATATTTTATTTGTAAAGTGATTGTTTGTATCTTGCATTGGAAGCCAGACTATCCTTGCCAATGCCATCTCTTTTCATTTCAAGCTTCAGGCAAGGCGGCAGATGGCTTAGAGAAACTCCAAGCTCTCTCTCATTCTTCATCACTCTTCACATCTCTCTGTTTTCATCATCAATATTTTCCAACAACGACATCAACTACTCTACTCAGTTATTAGGTAAATTTTGTATAATCATTTCTCTATTTTATAGTATTTTGGATAGAATAAATATAAATCAACAATTTTTGGGGTAAAAATTAGGGCTTTTTTTTTGTTCAATAATTGTTTTGTTTGTAAATGTATTATGTATATTTTGTTTGTATATGTTTTTTTAAAACATTAATATTGTTTAACTTCTCCCTTATATTGGGGCTAAAAATTAGGGGTTTTTTTTTTTCCCCTTTAGTTTTGTTTTTTTGGCTCACTAATTGTTTATAATTTGTAAATGTATTATTATGCATATGATGCTTCAATGCTTGGTATGTTTTGTTAGAGATGTTACGTTGCACTGTAATTGATTTATGAGTGGTTGATTTGGTGGTATGTTTTACAATGTTTTTCTTTATTTTTTTTTGCCAATTAGTTTTACCGCTATGGACAAATTTCTTAAAAGAAAATCAACAGTAGTAGAAGATTCATCTCTTACAGAAGAAACTTCTTCTAAGCAAAGTCATGTAGATGTGAACAATCTTCCATCTGACCCAGGGCTACGACAAAAAATTTCTTCTTATCATCCTAACAATCAAGATGAAATCAAAAGAGCATATTTACAAAAGGGTCCTTGTCAACCTCTTGACCACAATTTTCCTCAAAGAGACATTAGTGGAGTCATGCGTCGGTTTAATCCTGCTTGGTTTAAAGAAAATAAGAATTGGTTGGAATATAGCATAGAAAAGGATGTTGTATTTTGCTTATGTTGTTATTTATTTAGACCTGATACCGGTAAACAAGCGGGTGGTGACACTTTTGTGGCAGGAGGGTTCACAACTTGGAACAAGAAAGAAAGGCTACGAATTCACGTTGGGGGTCTTAATAGTGCTCATAATCAAGTTGTGAAGAAGTGTGAGGTTCTTATGAAACAAAAGCAACACATTGAAAGTGCCTTTTCTAAGCAATCTGAACAAGCAAAGATTGAATATCGAACTCGTTTGAATGCATCAGTTGATTGCATAAGGTTTCTTTTGCGACAAGGTTTAGCGTTTCGTGGTTATGATGAATCTAATGATTCGAGTAGTAAAGGAAATTTCCTTGAGCTTTTTCAGTTTCTAGCTGATCACAATGAATCTATCAATGAAGTTGTGTTGAAGAATACTCCAAAAAATAACAAGTTATGTCATCCTAATATTCAAAAAGATATTGCCAATACTGCAGCAAGTGAAACTACCAATGCTATCATCCAGGATCTTGGCAATGAGTATTTTTCAGTATTAGTCGATGAATCTCATGATGTGTCGATCAAAGAACAAATGGCTGTTGTTCTGCGTTATGTAGATAAAGGGGTATTGTTACAGAGCGGTTTCTTGGTATTGTACATGTAGCAGATACCACAACTTTATCACTTAAGGCGGCAATTGAGTCTTTGTTTTCTAGGCATGGATTGAGCTTAGCAAGAATACGTGGGCAAGGTTATGATGGAGCTTCTAATAAGCAAGGTGCATTCAATGGTCTTAAAACTTTAATTCTGAGGGAGAATAAATCAGCGTATTATGTTCATTGTTTTGCTCATCAACTTCAGTTGACTCTTATTGTTGTTGCTAAAAATCACATTGATGTTGCTGAAGTTTTTTGCTTGGTTTCCAATTTGGTGAATGTTGTTGGAGGGTCTTGTAAGAGACGGGATATTCTTCGAGAGGCACAAGCTACTAAAGTTGCTGAAGCATTGAACAATGGTGAACTCTTAAGTGGGCAAGGTTTGAATCAAGAAACTAATCTTAAAAGGGCTGGTGATACACGGTGGGGATCACATTATGGAACAATTATAAACTTGATTTTGATGTTCCCATCTGTTATTGATGTGCTTGAGGTTGTTAAAGAGGATGATTTACACGCCGAGCGAAGAGTTGAAGCTCGTTCTCTTATGGATTCAATGCAATCTTTTGAATTTGTCTTCACTTTACACTTGATGAAAAATATATTAGGGATCACACATGAGTTGTCATTAGCACTACAAAGAAAAGATCAAGATATTGTAAATGCAATGACATTAGTTAAAGTGTCTAAGCAACAATTGCAAATGATGAGAGATGATGAATGGGAATCCCTATTGGAAGAAGTGTACTTATTTTGCGGTGAACATGATATTCTTATCCCTAACATTGATGATAGATTTGTAGCTCGTGGGAGGTTACGCCGCAAAGCTCCTGAAATCACAAATTTATACCACGACCGTGTTGAGATCTTCTACACTGTTATAGATATACAACTTCAAGAGCTTAACAACCGGTTTACAGAGGCAAGTACAGAGTTGCTTCTATGCGTGGCATGCTTGAACCCCAATAATTCATTTTGTGCTTTTGATAAGCAAAAATTAATCCATCTTGCTGAATTCTATCCATCTGATTTTTCTGCGGTAGATCTCATGGCACTTGATAATCAACTTCAAAACTACATTGTTGACATGCGCTCTAGCAATGAACTTTCCGAACTCAAAGGAATTGGTGACCTTACTAGAAAGTTGGTAGAGACAAAGAAAGATATTGTATATCCATTAGTCTATTTGCTTGTGAAATTGGCGTTGATTTTACCAGTTGCGACTGCAACAGTGGAAAGAACATTTTCAGCAATGAAATATTTTTGCTTAAACAATAGTATTAATATATTGAAATATTTTTGTTTATAATTTTAGAATTTAAATTAATTTGTTGATTTTTTTCTCCATAGGTGATATAATGATTAATGTGAATTTTCTGTAAGATATATGGTATTTAAGTTTTTGATTGACACCACTGACAAAAATTCCTAGAGTCGCCACTGTTCACATTCACATGATCTGATGTGAACATTCACGTCATCTAATGTGAACATTCACATTCATGTCATCTAATGTGAACATTCATGTCATCACGTACAGTCAACATTTAGATGCATGGGAACTACCAATGATGCATGGAACTACCAAAACATAATGACAATCAATAAAGAATCATGTTTAATTTTTTGTGTGTAATATATATCAACATTAAATAATGGTGTGTAGTTAGTGCATTTTTTTTGGAGTGAAGATATAATGACAATCAACATTAATAATCAACATTTATGGAGGTAGAAGAGATTTAGGGTGTTTTAGTTTTCTTACCTCAAATAAGACCTGATGGTATAGTCAAAAAGAATATGGGTTGAATGAAATAAAACTCTTAGAAAGGAGATTTATAAAAAAAAAAGCTCCCAAAAATATAATTATATTTTACCTAATTTAATACACTTTTTCATTTTCTCTTTCAAAATTTCTATCCAAAACCATGAACCGAACACAATCAATGTTTTAAAAGGAGTTTTGGATCCATTATTGTATTGATATACATTATCTGAAAAAACCTATGTAACATTTGGTGGGAGAAGGAAGTTCATAAAATGGATCATCAATCATATTATAAGGAATAAAAGCTAGCCAATAAAAGATTTTTTAAATATTTAAAACATTAAACATTAAAGTATGTGTTTGTTTAAAGGGATTGAAGAGGGGGGGGGGGGGTTAAACACTTTGTCCATTGGATGATGTAGTCCCGGTTTGTTTAAAGGGGTTGAAGAGGGGGGGGGGGGGATTAAACACTATGTCCATTGGATGATGTAGTCCATTGTTTGGTTGTAAATTCGTAGGCCAGATTAGGAGTTTGGTTGGACTATCAATCCCACATATGTGGGACTATTGCATTGGGAGGAGGGGGATATGGGATAAAATTGGTGGGATAACTATGGGATTAAATGATAAAATGATATATTTGCCCTCCAAGTATTTAATTTAATTATGCATTATATTTAATAAAATTAAATATAATTTAAATTTATTAATTTAAAAACAAATAAGTTTATTTAATTTTTATTGATGTTTTATTTATTTAATTTTTTAAAATAAATTTTTTTAGATTTTTTTAATTTTATTGATGTTTTATTTAATTTCATTATTTAAATTTTATTGATGTTTTATTTAATAATTATTATTTTTAAAATAAATTTATTTAAAATTTCATTTTAAAAAATAACATAAATTTTTATTTAATCTAGCCCAAAAAAATTAAAATATTAAAGACATGTTTAATATTATATTATTTAGTAAACAATTCAAAATGGCATAATTGTCTTTTGAATATTTATCCTTATTCGTAATATCTTAAACAAACATAAGATTGAATGGAATAGTTGTTTTACATCTAATTCAATGACTAAATAAACATGTGATACACATACTATCCAACTAATAGTCCAGGGGCTATGTATTCTTAAGATTAACAGTCTGGTAGATTACAATCATCCATTATCCAGTTTGTCTAAACAAACATGATGTAAGAGAAATAAACTATGGAAGATGTGAATTGATTTCTCTATTTTAGTGGTACAAAAATCTAAATTTTAAAACTAATTATTTTTAAATTTCTAAATTAAAATTTTTAAATAGATTAATTAACTTTCTTTTTGAAATGTGTAAATAAAGATATAATAAGATTTTTTTTTTTTAAATGATTCAATAAAAGCTATAAGATTTTTTTTTTTTAAATTTAAATTGATTAGTTAACTTTTCTTTTCAAATTTTTATTTTTAAATTTATAAATGAATTAATTAACTTTCCTTTTGAAATATGTAAATCAAGACATAATAAGATTTTTCTTAAAATGATTCAATAAAAGCTAAAGATAATTATTAAGAAGTCCAAGATAAGAAGAATATAAGGTATTAGATTCAGTAGATATTTTTTGTTTGTAAAAGGTCTGTCTTTCATGAAATAGTTGGTGAGAAGTTATTTTGTTCTTCTGAAAGGACATTTTGTTTTCAATTTTGTCCCTTAATTTATCTGTGATTTTTTATCTGTTTGACTTTTCATTGACTATCTGTTCAAATTCATATCAATATAATCAAATTTTTTTAGCTATCTGTTCAAATTTTTTTAACTATCTATTCAAATGTTTCTTTGTCTATTGAATTTTTTTAACCTATATGTTGAATTTTTTTATCTATTGAATTTTGATAGCCTATTTTTTCTATCTGTTCAAATTCACATCATTTTCAAACTTTTCTCTCTCTATTTCTTTTTTCTCTCTATCTGTTGAAATATAGAGCTAAACCAACACATACTTACTGCAATCCAAACAAATCTTATCTGTTCTAATTTTTTTTCTCTTTCATCCTTATTTGTTCAATACAAAAATAAAAACAAAAAATTTATCTGTTTCATCATCATCATCATCAACAACAACAACAACAACAACAACGAAAGGAAAAACAAAAACAAAAACAAAAACAACAACAATAACAACATCAACACAACAACAACAACAACAATAAAAAAAGCTATGGTGGTGTCATTATTATCATCATCATCTTCACACAGAGAGGAAGAGAGAGAGATCGGCGCTACAGTGGTGTCAGATCGGCTAGGGTTTCTCTAATTTGACATCATAAAGAAGAGAGTTGTAAGAAAGTGAGAGAGTTGAGATAGAAATCCCTTGTCTTCTCATTCGACGTCAAATCCCTTGGTCGCGGTCCATGTGTCTCTTTTCCATAAACCGGTGATATGAGGTATGAGAGTTGCCGGAGTACATATTCTCACGATCTTACATGCACTACCTCGATGTACTTTATTTCCCTCAATAATTGATGGAGATCGGAGTGTTTAATTCTGATGACTAGATTGTCGCCACCTTACGATGGACCTTGGCAAGGACCTCCGGGTGAGTGTTGAGAAACACCATCGCCCACAGCAGCGATAAGATCTTGGTTGGGTGGTCAGTGAGAAAAACAGTGGAAAAGAAAGAGAAAGAGAGTGCAGAAAGAAGAGAGGGCAGTAGTGGAACAACAATAAGGGAAAGGAGAAGAGGTGGTGAGAGAGAGAGAGAGAGAGAGTGGTTTTGAGAGGACTAGGGTTTTGATTTGGAAACAACATTTATATATGTATGGGTAATTTGGTCATTGTGCAAAAACATGTCCTTATGGAAAGTAATTTAGCGTGTGGATCTTTAGACAATAAAAATCCAAAATTGGATGTATCGCCCAAGCAACAATTTTTTTTTTAACTTTTAAAATTGATTAGTTAAGTTTTCTTTTCAAATTTCTAAATTTAAATTTATAAATGGATTAATTAACTTTCATTTTTAAATGTGTAAATCAAGGCATAATAAGATTTTTTTGAATAAATTTTAAAGCTGATTAGTTAACTTTTCTTTTCAAATTTCTAAATTTAAATTTATAAATAGATTAATTAACTTTCCTTTTGAAATGTATAAATCAAGGCATAATAAGATTTTTTTTTAATAATTCAATAAAAACTAGCTAATAAAAGATTTTTAATCATTTAAAAAATAAGATTTGTAAAAAAATAGATGGGGATTTTGAGTTTTATAAGGCTCTTTTCATTAGAAATCCCCTTTTTCCTAATACATAGTATAGATCATTTAAAAATAACCAATTATCCCTCATGTGGTTTCCATTGTTTTTCATTTTACATCATTGTCGTTAATAATTCCATCTAAATTAACTAAATGTGTGATGCACGCATCACAAGTAAAGTGATAAGGAAAAAAAATTATTCAAAAATTAAAATAAAATGTAAAAAGCGAAATTTAACCTAAACTTTATCTTCTTTTCCCAAAACTCCTACTTACAATAATCTTCTTCCCTAGATCAAACCCCAACCCTAATCCTAGGAAGACCATCCATCCTTCATATCTTCTTGCCATCAGCAGCTACCTTTCCTACCACCCCTCTCCTCTTACCCTTTTTACTCTCACCCAACAACCCCACTACCTTTCCTCACCTTGCATCAAGAAAAATTATTTGGTGCTCATTAGGCGCGACGTTGTTTTACTTCTCACCAATTACAATTCACCATACTCCCTCATGTTCTTTAATAATTCAACACAAAATCGTGGACCCTATCTTTTCCACTAATGGGCACCACCTGACAGTATCCAAGACCAACCAATAACTTCTCTTGCATTAGCCTTCTCTCTCTTACTTAACACAGACTCGCCATCATCGCCACCTCTTCTCACTTCTGTAGTCACCTCGTATCAGCACCTCCTTCTTACACCGCCGTCACCTTTTCTTCTCGCACCCACACTCCACCATCCCCTTACCATATCACCATTCACGTGATTTCAATTTCAAAGAAAACCAATTTCAATAATCTAAGAACAAAAACCCAGTTTCAACAATGGACAAACCATAGTTGGATAATCAATGAATAATACATTCAAGCAATTAATGTGAAATAAATAACTCAGTTCAATTCAGTTCAATTTGCTTGATGCAATGAACACTTCACCAATATGATATATGAACAAATATATATATATACTAGCATATATATATTATTTTATATATGTAATTAAATTATAAATTATGTTTTTTAGATAGGCAATTATAAACTATGTTAAAAATTAGAAATTAGGTTATGTAATTAAATGTATTTAGATAAATATGTGTTTTTAATTGGTTAATATATAATTAGGATAAAAAGATTATATATATAACATGAGAGAGAGAGAGAGAGAGAGAGAGAGAGAGAAGATACCAGAAGGGTACTATGGTCATTTTACACCTATTGTTAATGGTAGTCCAGAACCACATGGTCCTC